CACAAACACATCGCAAGACGAAGAAGAAGAAGAGAAACCCCTCCAAGATAGGCTTGTGCACACATCTTTTCTCTGAAGGCACTTTTTGCGTGGTGTGTACCGAGACTGGCCTTAAAATCTCCTTGGAAAGTGAGGAGAAAGTGAGGAGGTGGGTGAAGCCAACCAGGCAAACACACCGAGATTGTCTGAAGAGAAAGAGAAAGAGGCTTACCAAAGAATTAGGAAACGAGAGAGAGAAAAAGAAAGAAAATGTCAGCAGAGTAAATTGCGTTGGCCTTGGCAGCCGTCGATGCCAGCCACTAAATCAATACACCCTTCTTTTTGGGCCTTTTTCGTTTGGGTATTCTCTCTCTCTCTCTCTCTCTCTTTTTCTCTCTCTCTCCTTTTTGGATACTGTTTCTCTGTACCGCCAGCAGTGCCCAAAAGTGCTACTGTGGCTGGCCCCCTGTTTGCTACTTCTGCCCTTTGCCACTATTATCTGATGGCGGAGATGAGATTGCTGAGCAGAGATTCTGGCAAACGGGTGAAATTCTGATTCTTCTTCTTCTTGGTTAGTGTGATCTAGGCGTTTTCACGCCAGCACTCTCTTTCATTCATTCAATTCATTTTCCATCTCTTACCACCTGATAATTTTTTTTATTTTTTTTGCGACCAGTTCAGATCAACCACCAAAACAAAAATCTCATCATGTACGCCAGCAGCAGCAGCAGCTACCTTGTGTGGAATGTTTTCGTAGACGATCTACCTGACTGCGTAGTCGTTACCATCGTCGTCGTGTTTGTCATTGAACTCGCTAATGAGCGGCTGATATGAACTTTGCTCTTTGAAAAACATAACCTGGCAAGCCTTAAAAACTACACAACATCAAATAAACAGATAGCAAGCAACTAGAAAAAAAAGAAGAAGATGAGTGAGTGTGAGAAGAGGTTTTTAGTTTTTTTAACCAGGCAATTAGTTATCAAAACATTTGCTCCAACTGTGTTGTTGTTAATTGCAGCCAACGACTGACTCACTCACTACGACGGTGTCTGCAGTGTGCCCACACAACGTCAACAACAAATGCTGACAAAAAAGAGATTGAATTGGTATTTGTGATTGTTCTTTGTGATTAATACCTCTCTCCAAACCTGATCATATCAACTGATGGTGCTCAACTATTATTTTGAAGTTTTAAGTTTACACTATTGAGTTTTGCATTTTGAAAAGTTTAACTTACAAGCAACACACAGTTATCTCATCATTAAGATTTACTTTTGGATTACTCAACAACAAGCATCAAAACGTAAGATTTTTTGACAATTCTGTACCGGTTTAGTAGTTGATCGCTGAAAAGCTCAATTTACTTGCAGTTTTGATAAACAAACAGTATTTTACTCAAAATAGTAACTTTTTTTCTTGCATACGGTTATCAACTTTTAGGCATGTTTGTAAATGACTGTAATTTTACAGTTATGCCCACTTGAATTCTCTAGCTTTGAAGTGCTTTCTGCGTAAAACTTAAAATTTTTTTCATTAAACTTAAATAGTTTGCCTTTTCATTACCTTTTTTCTCATTTTCTTCCTTTTTGTCTGTTTCAAGCTGCGTTCAGTGACTTATTATAATTAGTCCTTGAAACACAAGTACTCTATTTTTTAGCTTTAACACAACCAATTTACAATTTGCCTTTGCAGCACTTCCACTTAACTTTCCATGCGCTCATTCAACAACACAACAGTCAAACTAATTTAGGTGACGGAGAAAAAAATTACAGAATTTTTCTCAGAACTTTAAGCTTTCCTTTGTTTGCTTTGCTTTGCTTTGCTTTGCTTTGCTTTGCGTTTTGTCCCACTCAACAAGCCACTCAACTTCATTTAAAATTAAAAATTACACAGAACAGGAAAAAAAAGTTTAGTAAACAGCGCAAAAAATAGCCATGATTAAACAATGAAAATTTTGATTAAATTTCAAAATGAGTTCTTCAAAAGACAGTCAAACAAATTTGGTACACTGAACTAGGCAAGGCTAGAAAACTTAATTCTTCAGCTCAAAAGTACTTTTTCACATTTTAACTTTTTGTTTCATTTTTATTTTTCCACCAAAGATGGCAGCCCAGCACTGGCCAGGACGAAATTCAACAAAAACTCCTCTTCGACGAGCGGCCAGCCTGCCCAATCTAGCGAATACTAAAGTAGAAAACATTTCAGCTGATAAGGTTTCAATGGATGATAATGAAGTAGCCGGTGCTAAAAGAGGCCACCAGTCTGCCGTCGCTGTTGATAAGCATTACAGTGGCCATGTGCAGCAGCAGCAGCAGCAGCATCTTCAGGAGCGGTACTGCGAACTCTGCTCCCGCCTCTTTCCCACCGTGGCCGAGCTGATCAGCCACCAGCTGCGCCGAGGTCACCAGTACGGCTGTGCCCACTGTGGGCGCTGGTTCGAACGCTTTGGGCAGCTTCGAGAGCACCAGCTGGGGGAGATTGACGAGCAGAAGAAGGAGAAGAAGAAAAAGGAAGCTGAAAATGAAAGTAAAGANGCTCTGCTCCCGCCTCTTTCCCACCGTGGCCGAGCTGATCAGCCACCAGCTGAGCCGAGGTCACCAGTACGGCTGCGGCCACTGTGGGCGCTGGTTCGAACGCTTTGGGCAGCTTCGAGAGCACCAGCTGGGGGAGATTGACGAGCAGAAGAAGGAGAAGAAGAAAAAGGAAGCTGAAAATGAAAGTAAAGAAGGCTACAAAAGTGCACTACACTTTTGCTGTGAAAACTGCTACGCTGAGGCTGCAAAGCAGGAATTGATCTTCAAGAGCAGCAACAGCAGCAGCGAACAGATTCAAACCATTTCCCATCACTCCTATGAGCGACACACTTCGACTCACTATCACTTTCAGCACCTGGGGGAGTACCTCTTTCACGAGTACCACCACTACCACCGCAATGAGCGCCTCTACGTGAAGGTGGAACGCTGGAAGGTGACCAAAAGCAGTTGTGAAGATAGTAATGAAGAGGAAAAGGAGGATAAGGAGAAAGAAGAAAAAGATGAGGAAACGGAAGTGGCGGCTGAGGAAACCAAAACCGACAAGGATGATGATGATGATGATGATATGGAGCTGAGCGAGAGCGAGAAGGAGCTCAAAATTCAGTCTTTAGGCGCCCTTATAGCTCGAAAGGAAGTCGAGTTGCTGGAGCTGATGCAGCGAAAGCTGAAGTGGTTCGAGGAAAACGCCTCCGAGCTGCTTGACAAAATAAAGGCCTGGGAAGAGGCAAATCAGGATAACATTGACAATAATAGCGACAATGACAACACTGAGGAGCAGCAGCAGCAGCAGTCATCGCAACCTGCCACGCCCACACC